TATATATATATATATATATATTAAAGTTGATTAATAATAAATAAACGATTGTTATATAAGAAATGAATTTTCTGTCTTTTATTTTATATATTTATCTAATAATTACAAAGAGTATATATTATGTGTAATTCAAGTAAAATAGTTTCTAATTATTTGATTTTGGACTAATCGGCCCGCTGCTAAATCCGGATTGACCCTACGTGCATTTCTTATTTCTGGAATAATATCGCAGTCATCAACATACATTCCAAAATCTAATAGATCATCCCTTTCTTCCGGTAACGGATCTGGTACATTATGTGCTATGCACATATTATGGAGAACAACACAGGTGTTGATTATTTTAGAAGCTATAACTGGAGAATAGTGTAATACTCGATGCTTTAGGCAACAACGAAATCTCATTTTTAAAAGGCCATTACACCTTTCAATCAACGAACGGCACGACATTTGTCGTTCATTATATCGAGCTTCTGGGGTCATCGGCTGTGCGTTAGCAATAGGTGTTAGCATCCATGGTCGTAAAGGGTATCCTGAATCACCTGCAAATTGAAGCAATTATTATATGAGAGTTTGAAGCATACATATGAAAACACGTATGAACAAAATAAAAAGCATTGTAATAAATATATTGTACATACCGAGCAAACAGAAAGTATTTCTCCCATATCTTACATATATTTGTTCCGCTAGTTGTCTAGCATTTGAATTATTCCAGATGTATACATCATGTGAGCTTCCCGGAAATTGTACATTTACATTTATGATTCTTAATCGAAAATTTTTTGTAATAAATCATTTTTTGTAATAAAAGTGCAAAGTATTATAATTTTATGAGCAATTATGTATTTAAAGTTCGATTGTTATTTTAGAAAAAAAATTCAGCTTGCAAAAGATTGCAGATAATCTAAACAAGAAGATTCCAAAAGTGAAGTTAACAACTTTATCAGGTATTATTATATATATGTTCAATTAATGTATAATTGTTATGTTAAATCTTTAACATAATACAATTATGTTCATGAAAAATGGGTTAAAGTTTTATAATTAGTACATAAAGTTTACTTATAAAATTATATTTACTTTATCTTCATAAATTTGTTTTAAAGATTTTCAACCAACTGCCAATTCCAATGCTACGTTAAATGTTGATACATCAAATGTGACATGAAATCAAAGAAAGCCTTCCGTCAAGCAGTAACTGTGATACTGAACAATGCAATATAAAGTCTAATTTTAATTTGATAAGTTGTGATAATACAAATGACAGTGATAATATTAAAGATTCTGCGCATTTGACTGCAGATGCTCCTTGTGTCGATGATAATCTTAATACATTAGTTGTTAGTAACAACATTGAGAAAAGCGATAATCTATGATACATATAATTAATCAAATTTTAATACATTATATAGCAGACATTTTAGATACAGTCTTTTTACGTATTTTGCGTGACAACACATTAACAGCTTTTGCAACATCATCAGTTGCTTGCAATAAAATGTCTCTACCCTATTTTTTATCTTATTTCACAGATTCTCCAACAACTGTCAATTCCAATGCTACTTTAAATGTTGATGCATTATATGTGACATTTGAAATCGAAGAAGGCACTTGCGTTCCATCAAGCAGTAACTGTGATACTGAACAGTGCAATATAAAGTCTGATTTTAATTTGATAAGTTGTGATAATACAAATGACAGTGATAATATTAAAGATTCTGCGCATTTGACTGTAGATGCTCCTTGTATCGATGAGAATCTTAATACATTAGTTGTTAGTAACAATATTGAGAAAAGCGGTGAGTCTATGATATACATATAATTAATCAAATTTTAATACATTATACAGCAGACATTCTAGATACAGTCTTTCTACGTATTTTGTCTGACAACACATTAACAGCTTTTGCAACATCATCAGTTGCTTGCAATAAAATGTCTCTACCCTATTTTTTATCTTATTTCACAGATTCTCCAACAACTGTCAATTCCAATGCTATTTTAAATGTTGATGCATCATATGTGACATTTGAAATCGAAGAAGGCACTTGCGTTCCATCAAGCAGTAACTGTGATACTGAACAGTGCATGTTGCGGATTGGAGAGAGAGAGAGAGAGAGAGAAGAGAGAGAGAGAAAGTGTGTGTGTGTGGGTGTGTGGGAATGCATGTCGGAGTGCATTCTTCGCCTTGCGACAAGCGCAGCTAACTGCGCTGAAATAGCCGCTCGAATTTGGCGACGATTCGCGCTAAATCTCCGTGCGCCAATCGCGAGCGAACGCGCCCCGCCATATCGCAAGACCGCGCGCGTCTTTAACGCTCGCAATACCTGTCGTTTTGAACGGTGACAGGTAACCGTCTCGTCATAAATATAACCGACGACAACAAGTGATTTTGTCCTCCGACATTCGAGAGGATTCTATCTTCATGTGGAAGGAACACAAACACGGTGTTCCTTACCTCGGAACTCTCTCGAAGGTCGGTAGAAAACAATCACGTTGGTTCACGCTCTCTCTTGTCGAACGGATCTATCGGCGTACGGTCGTTCGCGCGTACAGACAGCATTCCTTTTCGCTCTTCTCGATTTTCGTCGCACTTCTCGCGGGAGATCGATTTTGTCGTTGGATTGCACTTCCGGCAATCATTGCACGCTTCTAATTGCAGTTCACTTGCATTAGAGCGTTTCTTTTGCACTGTGTAATTATTTGTAAAATATATTGTGTGCCGTGAACTTTCCTTATTTTTTTTCTTTTTTTTCTGTGCCGTCCTAAACTTGACACTCGCGTCCGCGCACTAACTATAATCACTCCGCGTAGCACGGAATATTGCACATTTGCTGGTTCTTCGAGCTGGATAATCGACAGGTCGTAATTTGTCGCGCCCGGCACCTATTGAACTTCGCCGTCGGGGTGAGTGCGTGCTCCGTGACCGTGTGAATGTCCAGTGACCTGTGACAAAGAAAATGGACATGGATCAAATAATCGACGCTCAGCATGAGCTCTACCTACGCATACTGCGTAGCGTGGAGAACTTGAAGAAGATCGGGGCGAGCAAATTGAACGCCCACACTGTCCAGGCTGCAATCCGCGTCCTGGACGATAAATGGGCCAAATTCACGGAACAGCATGAAGAGCTCCGCGCCCACTTCTGGAAGGAGATCAAGCGGGAGAAGTACACCACCGAGGACCTCCTCAGCAAGGTTGAGACGGCGTATTATGGGCAGCGCTCCGAACTCGCCGGACTGGAGGAGCAGTTCATCGAGCCTGTGGGGCCCGCCCTCGGCGAACGGGTCCGAGAGACGGCTCCGTCCCGCCGAACTTTACCGCGGATCAACCTACCGTAGTTTAGCGGCAAGTTCGAGGACTGGCCAGCCTACCGAGATCTGTTCAGCTCCATGGTCCTAGGAGACGCGTCCTTGACAAAGATTGAACAGCTGCATTACCTGAAAACCAGCGTAAAGGGTGATGCTGAACAGCTGATTCGCAACCTGCCTTCTACTGAAGAAAACTTGGAGGATGCGTGGGAATTATTGACTACGTATTTCGAAAATAAACGTTTACTGGTCAGATCCTACCTGACAGCCTTCACTTCGCTGCCGCGATTGAAGGCCCCGTCAGCCGATAGACTACGCCGACTGTTCCACGGCGTGCTCACGACAGTCGGTGCACTGAAGGGCATCGGGCGCCCGATCTCCGACTGCACAGATCTATTCGTCCACCTGGTCGTCGAGCTACTGGACGCTGAGACTCGACGTGAGTGGGAGAGCTCCCTCGGAAGGTCGTCGGAGCCTCCGTCCTACGACAAGCTCCGGGAGTTCCTCCAGGAACAACTGATGACCTGGGAGGTCCTCCAGTCAGTGAAGACCGTAGTGCCTGCCAAGCCAACGGAGAAGTCCAGCCGCTCCTCTCGCAGCAGCCATGTGGGTACCAGGGGGCCTGATCCGCACCGCAGCTGTCCGCTCTGCAAAAAGGATCACTTTATTGCTTATTGTGAGCAGTACAAGAAGAAGACGGTTAGCGAGAAGCGGGAAGCCATCAACACGCACCAGCGGTGCTGGAACTGCCTGGGTCGTCATCTGCTAGCCGATTGTAAGTCGCACAAGGCGTGCGCTACATGCTCAGGCCGGCATCACACGACGTTGCACGACGCCTTTGCGGCTGTGGCCTTACCTGCGACTGCATCCTCATCTCCGACGGCGACGGTCCACGTCGCGAGGCGACCACCGCGGGAGTGTGGACCGGCGCTTCTGGCAACTGCCCGTGTATTCGTGGCCGACCGCGTGGGTACTCGGCATGCGGTCCGCGCGCTGATCGACCCGGGCTCAGAAACCTCGCTGATAGCGGAATCCTTGGCGCAGCGACTTCGGCTCCCGCGGACCCCATCGTCAGTGGCCATCTTTGGAGTGGGAGGCATCCAGACGGGCGTCACTCACGGATGGATCACCGCCACCGTCTCCTCTCGCGATGGACACTTTGCGCTCGCCGTCTCGCCGCTTGTCTTCCCACGCCTCACGGTGTACGGTAGAACCTCGGAGAACGAGGCCCGTTCCTGGCCCCACCTCGACGGTCTCGAGCTTGCAGACCCGGAGTTCCACCGCCGGGATGCTGTGGAGTTGCTGCTTGGCGCCGATGTCTATCTGGACCTCGCTCTGCCGGAGGGCTTTCGCCGAGGAGGACCTTGCGAGCCCGGTGCCCTGTTGACTCGCTTTGGCTGGGTGCTGCTGGGCGTCGTTGGAGCCAGTCACGTCGCGGTTCCCGTGTCGTCTCTACAATGCTCCACGGGGGACGATCTGGTAGCTCTCGTGCGCCGCTTCTGGGAGACCGAAGAGCATCCTCGTGCCGCCTTGCCGCTGACCGCTGACGAACGGGAGTGCGAGGACCATTTTGTGCGCACCCACGTGCGACTTGAAGACGGTCGCTATCAGGTGCGACTTCCGCTCCGTCCGGGGCTGCCGGATCTCAGCTCCACGCGCCGCGCCGCGTCACGGCTCCTCGACGTCATGAGGCGTCGGTTCATTCAAGATCGCGAATTCGGTTTACTGTATCGCGACTTCATGAACGAGTATCTGACACTCGGACACATGTCGCCTGTCTCCGCCGCGTCGCTCTCGCCAGGTTCCAGAATCTGCTTCCTGCCTCACCACGGGGTGCTACGGAGCTCAAGCACGACCTCCAAGATCCGGGTGGTGTTCAACGGCTCGGCGCGTACTGGCGGCGGGTCGTCACTGAACAACTGGCTGCTCACCGGACGTAACTTGCTGCCGTCGCTAGCCGATACCTTGACTCGCTGGCGGCGACACCGCTATGTCTTTGTCGCCGACATCAAGATGATGTATCGTCAGATACAGCTGCACCGCGACGACCGGGACTTGCAGCGGATCCTGTGGACAGAGGGAGATGAGGTCAAGGAATTCCAGCTGAATTCCGTGACGTACGGCCTAGCGAGCGCACCGTACCTCGCCATCCGCGTGCTCCATCAACTCGCGAACGACGAGGTTGGCCGCTTTCCGCTGGGCGCCGATGTACTGCGCCAGGATGTCTACATGGACGATGTACTCACCGGAGCCGCCACCCTGGATGCAGCGGACGACCTCCTGGACCAGGTGGCCGCGCTCTGTACGGCGGGCGGCTTCCCGCTTAGGAAGTGGGCTGCCAACGACGATCGCCTCCTGGTAAAAATCCCGCTCGCACATCGCTTGGACGTCATGACAGGTGCCCGACTGCCGTCTGAAAGTCACTCCGTCCTGGGCCTCCGATGGAATCCAAGGGAGGATGTTCTCTCCCTCTCCGTACGACCAACCTCAACGGCTCTACCGACGAAGAGATCGGTGCTCTCGCAGACAGCACGTCTCTTCGACCCACTAGGCTGGTTGGCGCCGATCATAGTACGTGCCAAGCTGCTCGTCCAATCAGCCTGGATACAGCAGCTAGACTGGGACGCTCCGCTGACAAGGGACGACGCCGCCGAGTGGACCCGCCTGGAAGAGGAGCTGCCCTTGCTTGAGGAGATCAGGGTGCCACGCTGGTTCCAGGGTGACGCTGCAACCAACTCGCAACAACTGCACGGATTCTGCGACGCCTCCGAACGAGCCTACGCTGCCGTGATCTACCTCAGGGGCGTGATCGACGTGACCCTGGTAATCGCTAAGACCAAGGTCGCACCGGTCAAGCGTGTATCGCTCCCCCGCCTGGAGCTTTGCGGGGCCACCCTCTTGGCTAAACTGGCCGAACACGTCCGGTCCTCCTTGGGCCTAGAAGGATCGGCGATGCATCTTTGGACGGACTCCACAGTCACGCTCGGCTGGATCCGAGGACACCCTGCAAGATGGACAACATTTGTAGCCAACCGAGTCGCCGAAATCCACCGAGAGAACCAAGACGCAAAATGGCGGCACGTACCCGGCAGAGACAATCCAGCTGACTGCGCCTCCCGGGGGGTGTCGCCGAAGGAGCTGCTACGCCATTCGTTGTGGTGGCATGGGCCGACCTACCTCAGCGGTCATCCTGACACCTGGCCGAAGGATGTAGGATCCCAGGAAGAGACCAGCCTGCCAAACAGCGACCGCAAAAATGCCACGTGATCAGGGAAGTGCTGGAACCTGAAGAGCTTCGCCGATTCTCCAGCCTTCGCCGGTTACTACGCGTATCCTCCTGGATCTGGCGTTGAGCAACTCGCCAGCGCCGCCCCGTCAGCGACGAGGCCGCTCCTGACCTACTGGGGCCGGAGGAGATGGACGCCGCCCTGACTCGATGGATCCGGGTAGTCCAGGAAGCGAACTTCCACCTAGAGCTGCGGGACCTTCGTACCGGGAAATCGCTGGCGACCAGAAGCTCACTCAGGAAGTTGGCTCCCATGCTCGACGATGAGGGGGTCCTGCGGGTTGGCGGGCGGCTGAAACACGCTGTTCTGGATGCCGACCAGCAACATCCAGTCATCCTACCACCAGAATCACACCTCACCACCTGGTGATCGATGCCGCTCACAAACGCACCCTGCATGGAGGAGTCCAGTCCACCGTGGGGAACATCAGGGAACGTTTTTGGATCCCACGCGCCCGTCAACTGGTACGAAGTCACATACATTGCTGCCTCCCTTGCTTGCGATGGCGGGCGGCCACTCCGCAACCGAAGATGGGGAATCTGCCGAGGACGCGGGTCACACCAAGTCGACTCTTCCTTCACACCGGCGTGGACCTCGCTGGCCCGGTCTGGCTCAGGACGACGAAGGGCCGCGGTCACAAAGCTCACAAGGGCTTCCTGGTAATCTTCGTATGTTTCAGCACCCGCGCCGTCCACCTGGAGGTGACCAGCGACTACTCCGCCGAAGTCTTCCTCGCTGCCTTTCGCCGGTTCGTGTCGCGTCGAGGGAGATGCACGGCCCTGTATAGCGACTGCGGCACCAATTTTGTGGGTGCGGATCGACAACTTAGAGAGCTCTTCAGGGCTGCGAGCGGCGAAGTCCACGCCCTCGTTGGCCGCCTAGCAGACGAGGGAGTTCGATGGGTCTTCAATCCACCGTCGGCTCCCCATTTCGGCGGCCTGTGGGAGGCGGCTGTCAAGGCCGTCAAACATCACCTGCGGCGCACCATCGGAGAGGCTAAGCTCACCTTCGAGGAGCTGTCCACGCTCCTCGCGGAGGTCGAAGCCTGCCTAAACTCAAGGCCCCTCGGGGCCTTGTCGGATGATCCAGACGACCTTGACGCCCTGACGCCGGGGCACTTCCTGGTGGGAGGGCCTTTCCTCAGCATCCCGGAGCCGTCCCTCTTGGACGCCCCTACTAACCGTCTGAACCGGTGGCGACTTCTGCAGCAGATGCGGGACCATCTCTGGCAGCGATGGACCCGCGAATACCTGCAGGGACTCACACCACGGCCCAAGTGGTGGACCTCCCGGGGAAACCTCTGCAAAGGTCAGCTGTGCCTCATCAAAGGAGAGAGCACCCCGCCGTGCCGGTGGCCGCTCGCCCGAGTTACGCGCTTACACCCGGGCGAGGATGGCCAAGTGCGCGTGGTGGACGTCCGCACCACCGTCGGTGAACTGACCCGGCCAGTGGTCAAGCTGGTCCCACTGCCGACGGTAGCCGCCGTGGAGTCCGGGACACCCGCGTAACCGCGTGTCTCGTGCAACCTCGCGCTCGGAAAATACCTGTGAAATATTGTAAAATTAGTGATAAAATTAGTCGTTCGTCTCACTATTGTCAATTGTACTGCGTTAACTCTTCTCATACTTACCTGTCTCACATATTTAGTCGTCTATCGCAGCTCCACTCGCTCAGCACGTGGCACATGGGGCTCCTAACCTCGCCTGTCAAAACTCGCGTTCGCGCTCGATCCGCGGCCGCGACGGCCATAAACCCGACGCGATAAAACCAGTCGACACACTATCCTTAGCAACCCTAGGATAGTTCGTCGCGTGTACCCGACGAAGGCGGGCGGGATGTTGCGGATTGAGAGAGAGAGAGAGAGAGAGAGAGAGAGAGAAAGAGAGAGAGAAAAAGTGTGTGTGTGTGGGTGTGTGGGAATGCATGTCGGAGTGCATTCTTCGCCTTGCGACAAGCGCAGCTAACTGCGCTGAAATAGCCGCTCGAATTTAGCGACGATTCGCGCTAAATCTCCGTGCGCCAATCGCGAGCGAACGCGCCCCGCCATATCGCAAGACCGCGCGCGTCTTTAACGCTCGCAATACCTGTCGTTTTGAACGGTGACAGGTAACCGTCTCGTCATAAATATAACCGACGACAACAAGTGATTTTGTCCTCCGACATTCGAGAGGATTCTATCTTCATGTGGAAGGAACACAAACACGGTGTTCCTTACCTCGGAACTCTCTCGAAGGTCGGTAGAAAACAATCACGTTGGTTCACGCTCTCTCTTGTCGAACGGATCTATCGGCGTACGGTCGTTCGCGCGTACAGACAGCATTCCTTTTCGCTCTTCTCGATTTTCGTCGCACTTCTCGCGGGAGATCGATTTTGTCGTTGGATTGCACTTCCGGCAATCATTGCACGCTTCTAATTGCAGTTCACTTGCATTAGAGCGTTTCTTTTGCACTGTATAATTATTTGTAAAATATATTGTGTGCCGTGAACTTTCCTTATTTTTTTTCTTTTTTTTCTGTGCCGTCCTAAACTTGACACTCGCGTCCGCGCACTAACTATAATCACTCCGCGTAGCACGGAATATTGCACAGTGCAATATAAAGTCTGATTTTAATTTGATAAGTTGTGATAATACAAATGACAGTGATAATATTGAAGATTCTGCGCATTTGACTGTAGATGCTCCTTGTATCGATGAGAATTTTAATACATTAATTGTTAGTAACACTATTGAGATAGCGGTAAGTGTATAATGTATAATTAATCAGATTACAAAACATTATGCGGAGCATGTTTTAATATTTATTGCCAGTACTGAAAATCTATAATATACATAAACTATAGATTTTCAGTACTGACTGTGTATATCGAATATGCCCACAGTGATCATTCTATATGCAGTTTTATTTACATATTTTGCGTTACAATACATTACAGCTTTTGCAACATCAGTTACTTGCAATAAAAGTTCTCTACTTTATTTTCATAAATTTTGTTTACAGATTCTTCGCCAGCTATTAATTCTAATGTATCATGTTATGTATGTTCAGTATTGATACAGCAAATGTGAATTACGATATCGAAAATGTTTCAACAATAACTAAGATTTCGGATGTTAAACAGAGCGTTCAATGTTGTAATAAATTTTATTCTACTTCTAAAATATGTGAAAATGCGAATGTTATTGAGAAATTTAGAAAAACTAAAAAACCTAAAAAAACTCCGAAGATTCTAGAAATACAAAATGTTAAGATATTACTAAAGAAGATTCCAGTGCGCACAGAGAAAGTTGATAATATTACAAATAGTATACAGATGAATAATACGTATAATATCGATAATAGTGATGTTTCTTCAAATGCAAACGGGACTTACGTTATCGATAATATTTCAAGTGAAACATCTTGTCCAGTTGCAGAATCTACACTCATAGAGAATCAGTTAGACTTAGAGTGTGAAATCCATAATAATAATTCTGAGTCTGATGATACATCCATTACATCTGAAAATAATTTAGATAGTAGTTTTCATTTGTCAGATTGTTCTAAGCTTGAAGACACAGATGAAGATGAAGATGAAAATGAAACTAAAAATACACATGAACGTACGATTAATACAAGTAAAAATAAATCTGTGAACAGGACATTAAATTTGACATCAACATTTTCATCTGAAGTATGTGATGATAGAAATATGTATGTGGAAACTTCCAATAATCCTAAATTAAAACAAAATATGTGCGTATATTGTGAAAAATTTCAAGCGCAAATTGCAAGACATTTAGAAACAGTACATAAAGAAGAAGAAGATGTGAAAAAGTTTTGTCTTTTACCTAAGGGTAAGTTGTATGTTATATACAAAGTTGCCAATACTATTTAGAATATCTAAAAGTTAATTGAAATCGAAGTTCCTAATGTGAAAATGACAAAGAAAATCATTTATCATAGCTTTTCAAATTTTAATACTTTATATATTTAAAATTATGCTTTTTAAAGTAAATATCTATTCAAGTTAATCACTCAAAATTTTAAAAATAAAATTTTGTTATCTATATTTGGCTAATTACATTCAAAAACGTTTTCTTGTTTAATCGCTCATAACTTGAAAACTGTGAATGCATCATCTTTCTTATTAACACATTTCCATATATAACTTGTACATATACTACTAAAGTATATGTATAACTTCATTTTAAACAATAGTCTTTAAATTTAAAAAAATATATAAAAAATTTTGCCAACTATAATATTTGATCAAATAATTTCTGATACTTTTCAAATATTAATAATTCATTGTGTGTATATTATGTGTAAAATTTTTAATAATTTACTTTTAATTTAATCATAATTTATTATACATTTTGTACTTACTATTTCAGGTAATCCGGAACGAAAGAAGATTATTGGTCTACTTAGACGAAAAGGAAATTTCATATATAATACTAATTCTAACTTAAATAAAGGAGATTTAATTGTATGCCGGCGTCTAAGAAATGAATTGAATAGACAAGCAGCCGATTTTATTCCTTGTGCTAAATGCAAAGGGTTTTTTTCTAAAAATAATATAAGACATCATTTTGCATCATGTGCGCCAAAAAGGGAATATCCTCAAAGAAATGTTAAAATATTGGGACGTACTGTGGCTTGTCGAATTCATTACAGTGCAAATACACCATTAAGAAGATTGGTGTTCCCAGTAATGAGGGAAGACAGCGTAACTCAAATTATTAGATATGATGAACTGCTAATTGCTTTTGGCAATAAAATGTGTCAGAAGTATCGTCTCCAACATCAGCACGATATGATTAGAGCGCGACTGAGATTACTTGGACGATTTCTTATTGTTTTGAGAGATCTCGATAATAGTGTTATATCCCCCAAAGATATACAATAGATATAACTATTAAAAGTTAACTAATATTAAGAAATGGGTACTCGTATTGCATCCGCAATTACGACAGACACTGACCGCGTTAAAAAGCGCATACGATGCGAGGTATACGCGAAATCAGAATTACGACAGATAATGACCGCGTTAAAAACGCATACAATGCGAGATATACGCGGAACAGAAATTGGTCAACGTGCAAGCAAAGCAGAAGGACTTTGAATCTGCTTCGCTTGCACCCAGATTCTCGACCGGGGAAACCTGTTGCCAGGCACCCCTTCCGATCGGGAAAACTCCAAAAAACAACGATATAATAATTAAAAAAAATTTTTGAATTCAAAAATCTGAAATTTTTGTAAATTATATAGCGCTAAATATGTATGATAACAATAAATTTAAATAAGAAAAATTATATAATAAACAACAGACTTTATTTATGTGTGATTATTTCCAACTTTTACAAGCTTATTTTTTATACTTATAATTTTTTTGTTTTTTTATTATTTTTAATTTTTGTTTTGTTTTTTACTTTAATTTTGTTTTTTATTTTTTATTTATTTCTAATTGTTTTTTATTTTTTATTTTTTATTTTCTAATTTTTTTATTATTTTTTTTTTATTTATTTTCTAATTTAAACATTAAAACTTTGTTGGCAGCAGTCGGGAGTTTTTTTTTTGTAAAAAATTTTATTATTTTCTAATTTTTTTATTTTCTAATTTATTTTTTATTTTCTAATTTTTTTTTCTAATTTATTTTTATTATTTATTTTCTAATTGTTTTTTATTTTTTATTTTTTTTTAATTGTTTTTTATTTTTTATTTTTTATTTTCTAATTTTTTTATTATTTTTTTTTTTATTTATTTTCTAATTTATTGCTGTTCTTATGCTGTTTCTTCATTCTTTTGTCTCTCTGCTTCTTCATCCTACACATGTAAAAGTTTTTATTATGTAATATATATATTACAATGTATATAATATAATAATAATAATAATAAAGACACATACACTCACCATGTGACTGCAATGTTCTATATTCTTTCCAAATATTTTTCTGCTACAATTTTTTTAATTAATATAATATAATATAAATAGAGAGATAAATAAAAAAAAATAGCTAGATAGATAGATTGATAGATAGAGAGAGACAGATGACAAAGACAGATGACAACAATATCTTATATCAAATACGTAAACTTGTACGCAATTATAATTATGGCTTCGACAAATATATTAACTTTCTTATGGTTATATAAGTTTATACATTATGTAATCACAAGTAAGTTTATATATTTGTATAGCCTTAATTATTATTACATATGTGAATAATCTTTTGTAGTAGATAATTGGCTATGTAAGTTAATATATTTGTCTGCATTGCCATAATTATTGGTGCGCTAATATCTTTGTATAACTATAAATATATTTGTATACATATTTTTAATTAATTATATAATTATTATATAATATACAAATAAGAGAAAAAATAACTATATACATTTATACAATTATATATGTGGATATTTATAGCAATGTGGCTACGTAGCAAATTTAATAGCAAATAAGTGGCTACGCAGACAAATATAAATTCATATAGCCATGTTATGACTACAACAGATTAATTATATTATTAATTATATTATATATTTTTATTAATTATTAATAACAAGACTTACTCGTTTTCTATTATTAATAATGTTTTCTTCTTCAGATATCTCCAAGCGAGTATCTTCTTCCTACATATAAATAAAGAAACAATAAATAAATAATAATTAACAATATCCTAAATAAAGAAAAAAACAATAAATATAAAAGAAGAAACTTACTCCTTTATTTATATCTTCTTGAGATATATCCATAATAATACACTTCACTTAATATTGTTGTTGACAATAACACGCAACAGGTGACAGCTAACCTATCCTATCAGTCCCGTCATTATTACTTCGAGATGTATATACCAATGTCACCAACATTCCCTATCCGGATACTACAACGAATCTCATTGGTGAATCATTTTTCCTCTTAGGTTCACACAGCAGCCAATGAGAGACCGTATTGACGAAATAATACTCATTTTTCACTTTTTATTAATAGAATAAATAACGATAATAATACGCTTTAAACCTTCCTTGATTAATAAGAAACTTATGTTCCAAAGTTGATATAAAACTATGCAGTAGTTATCGAGAATTAAGGTCACGACCGATCCGGGCTCGATGAAACGCATACTTCCTCTCTTTTCGCCAACCTACGGTTGGCAGCAGTCGGGAGAAAAAGAGAGTAGAGACGCGACAGCTCGCTCAGTCGCAGACACAAATAATCGCTCTAACCACGATCTCGCTAACCGCGCGCGCACTTAGCATCGACTCGCAGTTGTGCGCGATACGCGGAGTAATATAAAGTCAGTGCCGCACACTCGTAAAGCTTCAGTGTATTGATGGTGAAATAAAATAAAGACTAAGTGGTTGAAGTTGAATAAAGAATTTTAATACAAAAAGTGTAGTGCATTTCTCTACAAACACCCGACAAGTCCTGACGCCCCGGATTCCCATCCCAATTTGGCGCGACCCTTAAGTGTCTCTCCCGAGGCACACAACAATAGTATAGTAGATTTCTCTTCAATATATAATCCAACAAATTATGAACAATGCATTAAAGCTGTAAATAAACTTGCACAATTCGATGAAAAGACTTGGACATATAAAATACCATCTATTGCAACATCTTTAGGAACACTTATAAAACAAATTGGGAAACTTTTAAGAAGTATATGCATTAAGAAACAAGATTGTAGCAAACAAACTGTGGTAGAAAATTTTTTGAAATTATTTGAAGAGGATTATCCTGTTGCTGTAAATAAAATTGTGTTTGAAACTCAAGGGCATCGAAAAAGGCAAAAGAATATTGTCTTGCCATCTATAGATGATATAAAAATATTCAATGCTTATCTCAAAGCTGAACGCATAAAAGCTCTAGAATCTTTACAAACAAATGGTTTCTCAATTCACGCATGGCGTATGTTAACTGAAATAACATTAATATCGATTATGATATTTAATAGAAGACGTGCTGGTGAACTGGAGCGTGTTTTAATTGAAAATTTGGAAAATTGTGCGGCAATTTCAAAAGAAGAAGCACCTGAATTATATAAATCTTTATCTAAATATGTACGGATGACAATACGCGACAAATTAGGGAGAACGGTTCCTGTGTTACTCCATGAAGAAATATTAAAATGTATGCAAATGATTATTAATTATCGTAAAGATGCTGGCGTACCCGAAAATAATCCTTATATTTTTGGTATATATTCACTCGACAAAAGAAGATTCAAATATTTGAGAGCATGTGTATTAATGCGAAAATATTCTGTAATTTCTGGGGCAAAAATGCCAACTTTGTTACGAGATACAATATTGCGGAAACATATTGCTACAGTATGTATGTCATTAGATATATCTGAACATGAAGTGAATGATCTAGCTGATTTCATGGGCCATCACGAAAAAATACATAAATCGCACTACAGACAGTCAATCGTAACAAAAGATTTGGCTATATCACGTTTACTCAAATACGCACAAGGAGGAGACACAACAGATGAAAGTGATAATGTTGATGATGAAAATGAAAACAGGGATGATTCGATTAATAATGATAACTCAAATTTAAGTTTAAATACTTCTGATACTTTATCATTAATACAAACGAGACCATCTAAACTGCCACGTTTACTCAAATACGCACAAGGAGGAGACACAACAGATGAAAGTGATAATGTTGATGATGAAAATGAAAACGGGGATGATTCGATTAATAATGATAACTCAGATTTAAGTTTAAATACGTCTGATACTTTATCATTAATACAAACGAGATCATCTAAACTGCCTAGCAAAGAAAAAATTATGAATAATCATCTACATAATAATATCGAGAAAACAAAAGGTACGTGGTGGTTTGAATAATATCTATATCAAATAGTACACGTACTGTGCTCGTTGTTTTAACAGTTCTTACAATAAATATATAAGACAACTTTAGAAAAATACTGTTTAAAATAATTATTAAATATTAGATATAAGAAAAAGAAAATTTGTATTATTTTTTTCTATATATACATAACAATTATGCAAAAAAAATACTTTTTAATTTTCCGAAATTATTTGCATTTTTTAAATAACATTTTTTAATTCTTTCTCTTATCATTTAGTAATTATCTCAAACGGCATTCATTTAGAGACATATTCTATATAAACATTAGATACTACATATTATATACTATACTAAATTCTATATAAACATATATATATATTATATTAATTTTGTCATTATTTTAGAAAACCGTTTGGCTTCTAAGAGGAAAGTTAATTATAATATTGAAAATGTGACCGAATCAGATGATGAATGTAATACAGAATCAGATTTAAATATTTTATCAAAAAGAGCAAAGCAATCTGAACAGGTGACTAGAGGAAAGAATAACGTAAATAATAATACACAGAGGCAGAAAAAAAGAATGAGTAAGTTTAAATAATTTTTCGATTAAGTAATATATGTTGTTCTTTATTAAACAACATATTTCATAATAAATGTACTAAATTAATGTAATTTTATTATTATTTTAGCATCTGTTGTTGGTTCTACAAGAAATAGTACTCATAAGATCAGATGGACGGATGATGAACGCACAATAGTTTTATCTTCATTCCAACCTGCCATAAAAAATAAAAAATTGCCATCTCTTCGTGAAATTAACGAAATAAAAATTAAATATCCTGTATTAAAAGCCCGTACAAGTGCTCAGATAAAAAGTTGGTTACATAACCAAATAAGAAAAAATACTTAAAACTATTATCATTACAATGTGTCGTTAAAATTGCTCTTGTCGTATATTCTATTCTGCTATTGTTGTTTTCATAAAAAAAGATGTCCTATTACGGTTTGTACATGTTTTAAAATTATATAACTCTTCTGATTCTCCTCTAACCAAAGGAAAACAAGTTTTTATTTTAAAAAATTAATGGTTCAAAATTGTGCAACGTTATCTCTACGAATACGAGTACTGCTTTCAATATCAAAATATCAGATATTACAATGAAAGAATTATATTTTAACATTGCACCAATGTGATACATCTTTATTAAGATTCCGTACAAAAACAGTCTTTAAACATTCCTTTTATTGTAAGAATTATAATAGATGTAAAATTATTATATAGATTTAAGATTATTAAAGTGCTTATAATTATAAAATATAATAGACAAGATTATTTATAAATACTTATATATATTAATAGTCAAGAAATTATTATTTTCTTAAAAATTGTTATTTTCTTAGAGATGTTTTATTATTTTGTATCCAAGATAGATTTTATATCCAAGTTAAACTTAAGAGTTATAATTTTTTTTAAGTTTTCTTATATATCATAAATATATCTTATTATGTGTAATTCCTCTAAACGTATATAATATTAAACATAGAATACATACAACTTTTGTTAAAGTATGGCGAACAAAATTCACTTAAGTACAATAAAGCATATTTATATTTATATATATATATATATATATATATATATATATATGATTTATGCAAATAAACATTTCATGGAGACCTAAAAAAAGATTTTATAATAATTTGATAAAGTGCAATGGAACGTATCAGCAATTAAGATAATTTTCAAATAAAGATATTGTATTTCAAATATATAATACAGATAACATGTTCAATCAAAAAACATGTAAATTATATATTTATTTAGACTAAACGTTAATAATAATTATAAAATTTTATTAACGTTTACAATATATTTGTGTAATATCATTCGTGCGTGTCGGTACATATTAAGGCGCGTCATTACGTGTAGATAGACGCGCATGGACATGTGTGCACTCATGCCAGCGCGCACACGTTTCAGTCAAATAAATTGAAAACATAAAGCCGTTTATAGTCATTGTCTATATGCCTCATAATGAACTTAAGACGATTTAACTGTGTATATCGGTAAATAGATACTTAAAATCTAATTTTAATGATGTGAAAGTATACGAAAATGCAAAAACTATGACGAAGTAATTAAAACAGCTAGAAGTCATCGAAATAGTTAATGTTCACGAAAAATCATTGTCAAAATCGATTTACATATATATATATATCAATTAACACGGTGTAAAGGTTGTTTTAACGACAAATATATACAAAATATATGAAATATACATATGTCGTCAAAATTACCTTAATGTAGCTATAAATTATATATTAATCGATCTGGTGTAAAGGTTGTTTTGAGGACAAATATATAAAATATACATATGTCGCCAAAACAATCTTTACACCGGGTCAATTAATATACAGTTTATAACTGTATTAAGGCATTTTTGCCGACCAGTCGTCAAAACAACCTTTATATCGTTACAATATGTAGATCTGGTCGTAAAAACTGCCTCTGTGCATTAAAAACTATATATTTTATATACACTGTCTTTGAAACTGCCTAACCATAAAAGAAGTAGTCAAAACTACCATTTTGTACTTTTCCACACATTATTAAAAAACTAGATGGAATTTTTTGAAACGATTTGTTGCATGTTACTCTCTGGACATTTGCGCATATTTTCATATTGAATAAAAAAAATGTCGTCAAAATTGCCCCTAGACATATATATATATATATATATATATATATACATATAATATGTAAGAAAAACAAAATTATAATTATATTATAATAAAAAATATATCAATATAGATTATATACTTGGATGGTGTACAAGCTAAACCGCCAAAGGTGGCATTATACAACAATGGCAATGTACCATTTGAGTAACAAATTTTAAATAACACATTAATTGCGACATTAGGCAAATACAATGAAAAGTCATCAAGTTCAGAGCCAGAAAAAATTAAACTTTGTGATGTATTCAATACCTCAAATCGCATCTGTAGGTTTCATATATTATACACAAAGAGAATATATCTAATAGTTACATATACAAATAGAAATATTAAATATAAAGAAACATCTCTTTGTATATATATATATATATATATATATATATATATATATATATGATGATATATATATATGATGATAATACGATATATATATATATATATATTAATTTATTTAATTGCACAAATGGTACAACTTTATTAATAAAATAATTATTATTTTAGTAACAACACTTCATATATATTATTTACTTAATATTAGTACTTAAAAAACTTTTTTTAAATATATAATATCACACTTTATTTTTATTATCTAAAAAATTGTAAATTAATATTTTCTATAGTAGAACATTTTATTAATTAAACTTTGGTGAATTTTAACTATTAAATAAACACTTAAGAACTTATTTATAACTTGTCACTAACATGCGTAAGTATTCATAGTAATAATGTGAAAATTATATGAACTATATAATTATATTATTGTAATCATATAAATTATATTTTAATTTATAATTGAACTAATTATAATTATTAATTCCATATATTAAATGCTTAAAAAAACAAATTTGTGAAATAAAAAAACATAAACTTATCTTTTTTACTTAAAAATAAAAATAAAAACTTCATAATGTAAATATAACAAGTGTACTTTATAGTATTGTACTTTTAAGTATTTAGATACTTTTGTGCCTAATGATTCGTACATTAACTTAAAGTTTTGTACATACGTTCCCGCCTTCTTCTATTATCGCACGATGAATGATGCATTCGCTGCAATCTAACCGTGAGCAACTACATAATTTCTTGTAGAAAAGTCAAGCACTATTTTATATCCCTTCATCTTATTGAAATAATTATTACATAATAACCGTGCTATAATATTTGCATCATGCGTCGCTCTAGTGTACAACGTCATTTCCCACAGTATCATTTGCATTTTCATTTTTATTATTCTTGTTATTCTCTTCAGTATTATTCTTATTTTTATTCTTGTTATTTTGACGATTTAACCACAGATTTGACTGTCTGAACCATGCTTTTAAAATTTCTTCGAATTGTGCCTCTGTTATGGTGGAACAAGTTTTTTTTATGGCATCTACATACAAATAAAGATGAATATTTATTAGGTAAAAAATAAAATAAATAAAAAAATAATGTATAATATATAAAGAAATAATATTGTATGTAACTTACTTTTCATGCACATAATTAGTTTCAAATCTTTTAATGTAAAATTTTGTTTGGCTCTAGTCCAAAAGCATTTTGTAGCTAGATTATTCGTAAATAATTTCTGCAATGCCCTCTTCATTGCATCCTTTTCAGTCGTGCCACCAGTCATAGTTAATATATTGACCTAAAATATTACTTTTGTTAATCATATTTCTAATGCGTATTAATATCAAATTAAAAAAGTAAAAAAATTATACACATACCAGCTGTAATTGTGCCTCCTCAGATACTAGTATAGTTTCAAAATTATTTATATCTTCGAGACAATCCATTAGTAATGGTGGAAGCAAATTGTTATTACGATGAATATTTATGTTATTATTGTTATTTTCTAAAATATTGAAACGCTCATCTATTCGTCTGCACATTAATTTTATTTCAAGTACGTTTCGTAATATGGAATTTAGAGTTCCAGTAGCTGTAATCCAAAATAAAAAATGATTTTTTATCTATCTTTTTCTTTTTCTAAAAATAGTTTACAAAAAGTTATAAAGGGTGTATACATATATATATTTATATGTTTACAAGGAGCAGTCAATTATAAATTGAACTTTTTCCACAACTCTATAATTCGGCCAAAATATTTCCAATGCATACAGTGTGGAAATATTTTAGCCAAATAAAAAGTGGAAAAAATATAACTTATATTTGATTTAAATTATATAATTATTGTGCACACACATAACTTTATTTAATATGAATAAAATATTCTTTATAAATAAAATTTTATGTAAATAATTATTAACTTTACTTAATATGAATAAAATATTCTTTATAAATAAAATTTTATGTAAATAATTATTAATACATCTAAATTTTTTTAAGAGTAATAATTTTTGTAAGAATTATTAAATAAAGTTATTATACAATATATGTGTGAATGCGCGCGCGTGTATATGTGTATGTGTGCATATGTGTATATGTATGTATGATGCATGTATACGTGTAATAACTTACTATGATTGTGTATAGGAATAACATCTTTTGCAGGAATAATATTGCTGTCTTCTGCTTGTATAACAATAGGAATTTCATTTATGTCCAAGATTTGTGTATCATTATCATCAATATTTTGATTAATATCATTATCTGAAAAACACATTTATTATAAAATTTTACTTCTTTATTTTTTAATATATTTAACTATAAAGAAAAAAAATATAAAAAATAAAATGTAGAATTTCGTGATTATACCTTGTTGGTGTAAGTTTTCATTTAATTCGGGAATGGAATCACAATCGCTGATTTTATTACTTGAGCTACTATTAGAGCTATCTGAAATATCTGTTTAGTATTGTTTAACATTATGTAGAAAATATCTTAATATTATCTTATATGAAAGTAAAATAACATCGAAAAGAATAATTATATTCATTTATCAAGCTCAAAGAAATAATTTGCAATAAATTTTATTAAAGAAAATTTTTATACCATTTTCTTTCGAAATGCGATATGAAACTATTTTCTTTCGAAGTCCACGACCTAATTGGGATTCTGATTCGGTATTGCTTTTTTCTTCCATTAATCTCTTCTCTTTCTGGATAGCATGTTCATATGAATCTATGAAAATTAATTTTTTCAAGATGTTATTAATATTTTATACGCAGTATTTAGCCTCAGCTAAATTTATATGTTTATACATATACGATTATTAATTATGCAAAAAAATAACATGCTTACTATATTTAGCAATTACAGTAACCGGGTGAATAATCCAGTCATTCTGTGGTTTTTTACATTTTATGATGCAATTCCGTGTATCCTTTTTCGGCCAATATGAATATTTATCATTTTCTTTTAACCATGTACTCGGGATCACAGAATATGTTTCATCGTCTTCTTCGTATTCAGTATTAAATCTTACAACTGAATAAGGTAACTGCAAACAATAAAAATATTTAAAAACGTTTGAAAATGTAAATTTTAAAACTTTAATTATACTTAAAAGTTTATTTAATCATACTTAACCTAGAGATACTCTTTATATAACAATGATGATAAATGTTACCTTAAAAGACCAGAGAGAATAACTACTAATGTATTTTTATTAAATTACTATTAAAATTTTTAATTTGCTATTAATTATAATAAAATTTTATTGTGATTAAAATTTTACCAAAAGTGACATATTTAATTCAACATAAATTAAATAAAATTTATTACGTTAGTGTTATTGCCAAAATAAGTTATTTAAATTTTACATGTATGAACATAATTTTAGTAATAGATATTACAAATTGTTGTGTAATAATGGAATTACTGCAAATTTATTATCCATTGGTAAAACTAAACATTTTGCTTTAATATCTTTATAATCGAATGTTGATGTATTTGATGTTTCATGTATATCAATGACTTTTATAGATAAATTAAATGAAGGCTTTTCTATAAAATTGGATATATTTTGGAAAATTTTTCCAACTATTTTTATATCATTATTTTCATTTTTATAAATATTAGAAATAAGCATATAAGTAGAATTTTTTAAAAGGACACAGTTATTTCTTTGAGCTATTGATATTGTAAAATTTCCAAAAGAAAATTTTTTGTAATATCTATAAATTTTTTCACCTTCGTTAATTATTAAAGGTTTGTCGCGTCTTTTTCACATAAATCAGACTTGTTAATAGATGTTAGAAGCTTTCTATTTTCAACAACTCTATTATATATTTGTTGTAAAGGATACCGTGAATTCGTCATTTTTTTTTTATTTGACTCATATAGCTTTCAAATTTAAATGCACTAAAGTTATCAACTTTTCCAAATGACAAAACATCGTTGCAAAGATGCAAAAGATTATGCACATTATATATAATATATTCATTACCATACCCAGTCAGAAATGTAATTCAAGGTTGATTCAACGTCGATATGGTTGACAGCTAGTTGAGTCGATAAGAAAGTTGATATTACTGCAATATCAATCATCCAATCAGATGAAGTGCAACGTTGATTCAACGTTGATCTCTTTAACCGAAGTCTAACTCGTTATGAACCAATCCTGATTAGGTTTAACGATTTAAGTTTCGGTTATTAAAGTGAGTTGTGGAATCTGGCCTAAATGATTCAATTTATAATCGCTTAAAAAATTCTTGCGGGCCCGTGATTGAACAGCGCGTCAGAAAAGCTATAACACACCTTTCACATTGCTTGATTCGGCAATTGGTAAAATCTTTCGATGTGTGTGTTATACCCTTAAGTTGCGTCGCTACGATCGTAGATCGGGGGTAATGTATGATATATATGTATGACCATCCGTTAGAGTGAATGCGCACGTTGCGGATATTGCTTTTATGTTACAAGTGTATTATCGCATTTTTAATTATCACAATGGATATTGACGTTACTAAGCGGGTAAGTACTATTTTTCTTACACTTGATTGTTATTATTTTTATATAAAATAATAATAGGATACAAAATATAGGCGCGCGGTTATTAAGTGTTTGTGACAACGTAACCTATAATAAACATTTTATCTGTATTTTGATTTAGAGTTTTTATATTTAAATTTTTTAATTCTGTACGTTGCTTTCCACGTATTTGTCAGATAAAGTGTGTAAAAAAGTATTTTTGCTTTGAATAATAAAAGGTAGTAGTTGGATATATATAATCAGTTCTATTCTATTGTTTCTATAAACAAAGAAAATAGTTTTATACATTTTTTTATCACATGTCAATTATTTCATTTTTTGTTTATATATATAGTGTTATAAACGTAGTTGGAAGGAAAGAGCTGAGACCATAGTTATAAAAAGGTTGAAAGTTAAAGAGCGACAAGATTATATTTTAAAAAGAGTTAATAAATTATTAGAATCAAAATGTAGACTCAAGTGCAATAGTTTGAGCAACAGCAATTTGTCAATTTCAAGAGACTCTGAAGAAGAAAATTTGCAACTTAATGAATTAATAGATTTAAATCATTATTCTCAAAGTGAACTTGAGATTCAAGAAGATATAGCTTTCGAAAGACTTTCTAATGTCATGAGTTTTGATGAAAATATAGATAAAAGTGAAAATAGAGATGAAAATGAATGTATAGATGAGAGTGAAAATAGAGATGAAAATGAAAATATAAATGAGTGCAAAGGTATAGATGAGAGTGAAAATACAGATGAAAGTATATATGAAAGTGAAAATACGAATAAAAGTGAAAATGGAGATGAAAATGTTAATACAGTTTTTGAAAATGATCAGCAAAAGGAAAATTATGTAATATTAGCTTTACGTCAATGGGCTTTATCAGGTGGTGTTATTTCTATGTCAAAAATAGATGAATTACTTGCAAAACTTCAACCTGTATTTAATAATCTGCCTAAATGTTATAAAACTTTATTGAAAATTGATGACGATATACATATTACTCACTTTGAAAATAGAGGACAATTTTGGTATCGAGGAATTAAAAATTATTTGGATGGGCTTAATTTAAAAAAGTACTTGCAAGTAAAACAAAAAATTGAAATAGATATTAATACTGACGGACTCCCTCTTTTTCGAAGTTCAAAGAAAAAATTTTGGCCAATATTAGGACATCTCGTAGGAACTAAAAATTATCCATTCATTATTGCTATTTATTTTGGGAATTCTGATCCAAATAATGTGAAAGAGTTTTTGCAAGATTTTGTAACTGAAGTTGATAATCTAATTTCTAATGGTTATGTACGATATGGAAAAACTTTTATTTTTTTAATTAGACATTATATTCTTGATGCTCCAGCTAGAGAATTAATAAAATGTTGTATAGGCCATAATGGATATGCTTCATGTGAAAAATGTACAGTATGGGGAGAACGATTAGATTATAGGCAAACGTATATTGATTTACATGCTCCTTTAAGAACTGACGAAAGTTTTAAAAATCAAATGCAACCTCGCCATCATAAAGGAGTATCACCTCTTCTTCAACTTAATACCAAAATGGTCTCTCAGTTTCGATTAGAGCCTATGCATTTGGTATATGAAGGTGTGTTTAAGAGATTATTAGAAGCATGGAAGAATTGGATAAGTCCATGGAAACTACACTGGACTGTTGTAAACAGAATATCTGATAGGCTGATTCTGTTAGCCCCTTCTTGTCCTCAGGACTTTGCTCGAAAACCCGATCTTTACATGAATTATCATTTTACAAAGCAACGGAATTCCGTCGTTTATGTTTATACGATGGCATAGCAGCTTTTGCTTCACATCCTGATATAAATATTTATAAGCACTTTCTATTATTGCATTGTGGAATTTATATTCTTACAAGTCCCATTCTTTATAAAAGTTTTAACGAGTATGCAAATACTCTACTCAGAACTTTTATCCAACATTCTATCACATTATTTGGAAAATTATTTGTTGTATATAATGTTCACTCTCTTTGCCATTTGGCACAAGAATGTATTGATCATGGTTGTTTAGATACATTTAGTGCCTTTCGTTATGAAAACAAATTAAAAATGATTAAAAGTAACCTCAAATCTGATTTTAAACCCATTCAACAAGCAGCAAAACGTGAGCTAGAACAAAGTAAGAAAAACGTTGTACTTTTAGATTCTGATATAAATAACATTATTTTTTCAAAAAAACATAAAAATATCAATGAAAATATTTATGGTGAACAGTTTAAAAAAATTTCAGTAAATGATGTTATTTTTGAAGTAAATAATAGAGATTCATGCTTCAAAACAAGTGAAGGTAAAATTGGAGTCCTGAGAAATGTCATTCGCAATCAGGATAATATAATTTTTGTTGGCAATATTTTTAAAAATATTACAGATTTTTATACATATCCTTTGCATTCGTCTGAACTTGGCATTGTCAAAGTATCTGATTTAAGTGAAGAAAGATTGGTATTTTCTATAAATAATATTATTGCCAAATGTTGGCTCATTCCTATAAAAGATGAATATGTTTGCATACCTTTACTTCATACTATGTCCTTTTACAAATAGAATTTTGATATATTATGTCGTCTATATTGTGTATCTAATTGTAAGTGTATGTAAAGTTAATTCTTTTATGTATTTTATTGTTAGAAAAATTTTAAGTCATTACATATCAAAATCATTATTTTTTCAGTTTGTCGTTTTGAAATTTATAAATGAAGATGTTGATTGCGACGAGGAAGACGATTCTTTATTTGAAGTTGGTCTTATTAAATGGCTAAAACAATTAGATGAAGAAACAAATGCAAAAATTTCTTGGCCTCCTAAATCTGAGCAGAGTACTGCAATTAAAAAAGAAATAGATGCACTTCCTTCATGGCCGATATATAATGTTACTGTTTTAAAATGTTATGGTATGTTGTTTCTTATTGCATATTTTTGCTTATAAAAAGTTAATTGTCTTTTTAATTTTATTTCCTAGATACACTTTTGGCTGCACGAAATGCACGAAATGGATATATTATGTCGTCTAATTATGAAACAGAGTGTGAATTTGGTCGTGGTAAACGTAAAAAAATTAAGCGGCAGTTTGCATGTGATGAATCTCTCTCGACAGAAGTGACAAAAAAGAAGAAATTTAAAAATATTTCAACTTCTGATGATTCAGATTTTGATAGAGATGATAGTGCTATAAAAAAATATAAATTTAAACATGCTCCTTCTCCGCCACTTATCTTGTTTCGATCAGAAAATAATAAAGTAAAACAATATCAAAACAATATTATCACAGATAGCAAAACAAAAAAATTTGAAAGATTACAGAAAAATAAACAATTAGAAAAAAAAATGACGCAATGTTGACATTTTCTAAAAATCATAAATCTAAAAAGGATCTCTTACTTACAAAAATATGTCAAGCAAGGAAGGTAACTTCAGTTACGGATAACAAAACAAAAATCATAGAGATTGCAAGAGAAAAACAGAAATGTTTAATAGAAGATAATGTAAGTATTTCTATACGTCGCACATGCAATGTGATGTAAGTCATAATTTTATTGGTATAAATAAAGTCTTGAAATGTTTTCATGTGTAAAGATGGATTCTGATAATGCTACAGAAGAAAATATTGATCCTAATATTCCACGAGAGGACGATTTTTCAATGAAAGTTCAAGATATGTCATCAAATAAAGATGTATCTCCAAGTACAAGTGCAAGATCGATAAATATAGAGACACCAGGTACATCAAAAGATTACTGTATTTATGAAGCAAATATATCTGATGAAAAATCATCATCTTCAATATGCACTTCTCCATCAGAATTACGTCAAAAGAGTCCAGTTACTTCACATGTGACAGCTGTAACTACACCGAGTTCATCTTGTAGATCAAGTAACATATATGACTTTGTACCTTTTAATTTTTTCTAAAGCATCAAATATTACGTTTTGATTTTCTTACAGGTAGTGTATTAGATGTGTCTAAAGCGACCTTTGATATGAAAGCTTTTGAAAAAAAGATGTATTCGTTAAATCAAGAAATTAGTAGCAAATTAGATATGATTACTATGAATTTATGCCGATTAAATCGCTTTCTTCTACCACATGAGAAAAGAATAATAAGACCAGCAGATCTTCCAGCACTTCCATTGACAACAGAGGAAGAATTAGAAAAATTTGAAAAATATTTAACGAAAGATGATAATGCTGGTGCAACTGTAAATAAATATTTATCGCTTTTATTATATATATATATGTATATTTGTTTTTAATATATATTAATATTTAATTTTCTTTGCTTAAATTTTGATTTTTTCCAGATTTGTTACATGAGTCAAATTATTGGTCCTAAAGACAATATTAAGGAAGCTACATATAAAGTACTAAGGAAACTTATTTCAAACACATTGGCAGCAGACTTTACTTTAAAAAGTGGTAAACATTTATCCAAAAAATGTTTCGAAAAGCTGATGCTGTATGAAGTTGTTCAAGGTAAGTAAACTTATATTTATTTCCAACTAAGAATCGTTTCAAATAAGAGAATAATATAAATATAAATTAATCAATAAAAATAAAATAAAAATTTAATATAATAAAATAATTTAAAAAATTTAATAAAATTTAATAAAATATAAAAATTATTGCATTTTTAGGTGCCATTTTAGACAAAAGGCCAGAAACAGAAATCCCAGAGATTGATGCAGCTACTTCACTGTGGCTAAAGCAAGCACCTTGGCGTCGCCAAGATGACGGCAGTATGGGGAAAAAAATAAAAAAATAAGATTATTTTTGTGTTTCTTTTGTTTTAAAATTTGACGATTTTTTTATTGTCATTTGACGATTTTTATAGCATATTTATGGCTGAACTATGCTCTGCTCTATATTTAAAACAACAAAATGTCTGCGACAAAAATATCTATTTTTTTATGCGTAACGTGAAATCAATTTCAGTTTTATTTTTTTTCTAATTTTATGCGATTGCGAAAAATGATTTATACTTTCGATTGTTTTGAAAAAAAAATGGAATTTTATTTTGTCGCTATATTAATATAGTATAAGAGACTTTTTCTTTTTTTTTGTTTACAAGCATCAGGACTTGTGTGTGCAATATTACTTTCGTTATCAAATTTATAAGTTTTCAGTACTTATTATATGTGTAAAAGTTAGTAAAACACGTAGCTGTTCTGCAATTATTTGTGATTTTTTGTTAAACGGTATACTAAACGCTTTATTCTTATAATATGTTAAAATTTGAAATAGTTTACAGATATAACGCATTGTTAATAAATATATATTTTATAATGCAATGTAGTTTAATTATATTCAACTTTGTATAATAATAAATGAAAGAAAAATAAGATTTGCACTTTTTGTTTTTTAGTATTTTTACCTTAAAAATAATAAATAATAAAGTATACTATTTATATATATATATATATATATATATACCATCAAATTTCGACGTTGAAACGACGTTGAAATAATAATTGAAAATTGGTTGATATTTGGTACGAGATCGACGTCGAATCGATCAAAATTTCGACTATACTTCGACATCAGATTTCAACGTTGATTCGACGTCGAGTCAACTATACATTTCTGACTGGGTATATTTTCTTGTACTTTTCAATAAAATATCGAATTAAAGATTTTGCATATGCATTAAGCCTGATGCGCTCTGATAAACATCAAATTTTTATAGCGACATGTAAACACAAAAAATGTTTATATTGAATTTTAGGCAATTTTTCTCTCAATGCAACAGGACCTGTATATAAAAGAAATTGTCTAAATTCTGTTGCTTTCCAATGTTTTACATCTTCTATAGCTCTTGGTCACAGATTAATAGACAGATCGCCAAAGGCCTGCCTAAAGAAGAGACCGCCACCTTCGTGCGATAGACTTTGCCCCTTACCGACACACTTTGCCCCTGGTTCGAGTCCGTGCTAAATTTTGTCACAAGACTTTGCCCCTGGTGCGAGTCCGTGCTAAATTTCGTCACAAGACTTTGCCCCTGGTGCGAGTCCAGGCTAAATTCGTTCGACATTACCAACAGACTTTGCCCCTGGTGCGAATCCAGACTAATTGATCATGAGACCAATTTGAGAGATTTGGCCCCCGTTGTGTGTGTGTGTGTGTGTGTGTGTGTGTGTGAGAGAGAGAGAGAGAGAGAGAGAGAATTTAACATATGCATATATATATATAAAATTTATTAAATGTTAAAAATATATTTTTTACACATAAAATGTTTTTTATTGAAATAATTACGATTTTAAATGTGTGATATAACACAGTGTTAAAAAATTTTTAATTAAATTTTATTAAAGAAAATTACTTGAAATTTTTTACATTAAGAATTTAAAGGCTCCTTATTCTCTTGTAGAAATTTATTACTACGCCAATTAATCACTTATTTCGAGTATTTAAAATACTATAATATACAGTAATTTAAGTATTCGAAATAAAAGTGATTAATTACTCGAAATAAGTGATAAATTGGCGTTACTAGTGATAAATTTCTATAAGGGTTAAAATAAAGTATAAGAGATAAATGGGCTATATGTAAGCCGTATGCGAAATGTGAGATGTAAGACGCATATTAAAATTTAATTTTTCGATATAATTTTTAAAAATGTACACGAGGTACAAAAAATTAGCTTAGACATTTGTAAGACTTAAAATTGGGATTAATTCTCAATTCTATTAATTAAATTTCGATATAACACACCTTACATCCGCGCACGGCTCACATATAGCCCATTTATTTCTTAGTGCAATTTTTAAGTTCCTTATTTTTCACAAAGTTCACTTTTTTACGTTATCAAATATTTTTGGTACATGTTTTCAAGAATTTTATATTTTTACTTACCGCAGTTTCTTATCCAAATGTAAAATCTTTTATCGCAGTCTATAAAAAATTGAAACAATTTACAATTTTATGATATGATATTATTATTATTACAATTTCTATATATATGCACATCTGTCAAATATCGTGATTTATTTCACATTATTATCTATAATATTTTAATAAAAAAAAAAACACTTGCAACAATCAAAAATAAACCGCCTGCTGCGAACGGAAAATGCCAAGAAAGCACGCAATTTCCGCGAATCTCGTAATTTTTTCGAAGAATCAACAATTTCAACGAAATTGTAAATTCTTCAAATCACTGCACAAGTATAATTCACAATAATAATTTTCAGTAACTACGATAAAAAATCGTATACTGAAAACCGCAAACAAAAGTGCAATGGGAATAAGAGTAAAGTCTGTGATAAAATTAATTGGCAATAGAAAATTAATAATTTTCAAATAGAAAAATTTTGAAATTACCGAGGATTTACAAATAATAAAGTAAAAATATGAAATAATTTGTTTTTAAATAATTTATGTTTTCCAATTTTGCTCGCGGAGAGGATCTTTAAAACAAGATTTTTAGAAGAAAAGACCTTTAAAATATAAAGAGGCGAAAACGTTGGAAAAATTAAAGCGCGCGTTTAAACAGATAAACGCAATGAAATAGATACGCAATTGTTTTTACTCATCGCTGTAAGCTCACAAGCTTCTGACGTTCTCGAGTGACCATGTCGCGACCGTGTCACAGAACGAATTCCCATTGTGCTTTCGTTTGCGATTTTCAATTCTTACGATTTTTTCGTTATTATTGAAAAATATTGTGACGTGTGTGTGTGTAATGATCCGATTTTACGAATCTACAGTTTTAACGAAATTGTAGTTTCGATAAAATCACGAGATTCGTATAGAAATTCGCGGAGATAGTGTGCTTTGTCGGTTCGCGGTCGGCGATTTGTTTTCGATTTTTGCAGGTATTTTTCGTGGATCAAAATAGATAACAATAATGTGAAGAAAATGACGATATTCGACAGATGTGTATACAAAGACTGTAATAATATTAAATCAGATAACTGTAAATTGTTTCGTTTTCCACGAAAGACTGATGAAAGATTTGACATTTGGATAAGAAACTGTGGTAAGTAAAAATACTAAATTTTTCTCTTCTTCTTTTATGTTTTATTGGCTTTTGCTGACCTGAAATTAGAAGTCTTATCTTGTCGATTATTGATCTTCAATTAATAAAATTCTTGAAAATATATAAAATATTTGACGACAACGAAAAAAAATTAATTTTGTGAAATATAAAAAAACGAGTGTCTTAAAAATTTCAAGTAACTTTATTTAATGAAATTTAATTACAATTTTTTTAAGTATATTATCAAGGAGAGGTCGTGGTTGACTCTTCACCGATCTCTTTTTGATAAATTTGTATTAAAATTAAGTCTGTGTTCGAAATTTTCTCTCTCTCGTCTAATGCGCCTTGTAATATTTTTTTATTCTTGTAATTTAGAGAAATTTTTATGTTTGTTATAAGACTTAAAGAAAGATGCATGTTTGATCAGTGCTACTAGCACAGCGGGATAGCACAAAAATAATAATTTAGAGATCCCCTAGATTCAAAATTTGAGCTGTCATAATTATTTTTGCTTTTTAAGTTAAAAAAATTTTTATTATTTTGTATATCATGTTATATGCATTATTTGTTACGTAGAAATAAATATTCAACATATATTTATTGTTAGATATATACGCATAATCTCCTCATATATTTAAAATACATACAATAATCGTAACATAAATAAAATATTTTTAGAAAGAAATTTGTTATGTTTTCATTATTTGTATCAACCGGTGCAATGTAATTAAAAAATAAACAAAAACATTTTTATGTCTTACTTCTTTATTTATTTTATTTTTTAATTATTTATTATATCTTTAAAAAGTAAAAATATTTTTCAAAATATTTCTCTGCAAAAATATGATCTTTATATTACAATTATTTTATGTATTTTAAATATGTGAGGAAATATATGCGTATCTAACAATAAATATATGCCGAATATTTATTTCTACGTAACAAATCTATATATATAAGCACCGTCTGTCTGTATGTATGTACGCGAACTACTTCCGCATTTGTGGACCGATATTCGTGAAACTGGTACCAAAATGTTGCAAATTTTTTGGGGGTGGCTGCTGTGGGGTTTTTTTTTTAATTTTTTAATTTTTTTTTTTTTCTACAGAGGAGGGTATGTTTAATCTTTTTTTGCAATATTTCTGAACACATGGTATCAAAATGTTGCAAATTTTTTTGGAGATAACGACGATGCGGTTTTTTTAAGTGTTACACCCCCACCCACGCACCCACCCACGCATCCACCCACGCGCATGCGCATTTATGGACCAATTTTCACGAAATTAGTACCAAAATGTTGCAAATTTTTTTGAGAAAACTACTGGTTTATTTTTTTAAGTTTACCCCTCCACCCACGCACCCACCCACGCAATCGTATATTTATGAACCGATTTTTTTTAAATTGGTACCTCTTCCCCATCCTACCTAATTTTTTAAAATTACTTCTTGGTGTGACCAAGTCAATAAATGCGTATGCAAATGGGTGATGGGTGCGTGGGTGGATGAGATAGGATGATAAAATTTGTTAAAATCATAGTAGCCATTTCCAACAAAATTTAACTACAATTTCAAAAAAGTATGTGAATAAATGTGTGAATGCGTGGATGCATGCGTGGGTGGGATAAAACTTAAAAAAACACACAGCAGCTTTCTCAGAAAAATTTGCAACATTTGGTACTAATTTCGTGAAATTGGTCCATAAATGCGCATGCGTGTGGGTGGAGGTGTAACACTTGAAAAACCACATCGTCGCCAAAAATTTGCAACATTTTGGTACCAATTTTAAAAAATC